ATCTGTATGCTGCCTACAAGAGACGCACCTTAGACTTAAAGACACAAACAAACTAAAACTCAGAGGATGGAAAAAAATCTATCAAGCAAACAACACTCAAAAAAGAGCAGGAGTGGCAATATTAATCTCCGACAAAATAGACTTTAAAATCTACCACAAAGGATAAGGAAGAACACTATATAATGATTAAAGGATCAGTACACCAGGAGGACGTAACTATAATAAATATTTACGCACCCAGTGACAGGGCTACAAAGTACATAAAACAAACTCTAACAGTACTGAAAAGAGAGATAGACAGCTCCGCAATAGTAGTAGGAGACTTCAACACACCACTTTCAGTGAAAGACAGAATATCCAGAAAGAAGCTCAGCGAAGACACGGAACAGCTAAATGCTACAATCAACCGACTTGATCTCATAGACATATACTGAACACTCCACCCAACAGCAGCCAAATATACTTTCTTTTCCAATGCACATGGAACATTCTCCAGAATAGACCACTTATTAGGCCATAAAGCAAGCCTTAACAGAATCCAAAGCATCAAAATATTACAAAGCATCTTTTCTGATCATAAAGCCATAAAAGTAGAAATCAACAACAGAAAAAGCAAGGAAAAAAAATCCAACCCGTGGAAACTGAACACCTTGCTCAAAAACTACTGGCTTATAGAAGAAATTAAGGATGGAATAAAGAAATTCATAGAATCAAACAAGAATGAAAATACATCCTACCAGAATGAAAATACATCCTACCAGAACCTTTGGGACACAGCAAACCCAGTGATCAGAGGTCAGTTTATAGCAATAAATGCATACACCCAAAAAGAAGAAAGGGCCATAATCAAAACATTAACCCTACAACTGAACAATTAGAGAGCAGCAAAAGACGTCCTCAGGAGCCAGAAGAAAGGAAATAATAAGACTTAGAGCAGAATTAAATGAAATAGAGAATAGAAAAACAATTGAAAGAGTTAATAAGACCAAAAGCCGGTCTTTGAAAAGATCAACAAAATTGATAAACCATTGGCCAAACTGACAAAAGAAAAACAGGAGAGGAAGCAGATAACCCGTATAAGAAATGAGATGGGTGATATCACAACAGACCCAACTGAAATTAAAAGAATCAGAACAGAATACTACGAAAAATTGTACTCTAACAATCTAAAAACC